ACCATTAAACAATGTGAGGAAACAACATGCTTTTTGTGCATTACACTCACCCATTGGCTTTTCTCTCGTTGTCTGTCTTCTCTCTCTCTTTTATGCTCACACACACACACACGCACACACGGTGAAACACCCTCTATTCGTCCCCAAACGAACGGGAGATTCACGCTCCACTAGCAAAGACTCTCAAAGTGTAGGTTATTAATGAGAGCATGTCCTAACAACATTACAGAGCTACTGCCCCATGGACGAGAGAGGAGAGTGAAAAAGTGTGTGAGTGGAGAAGAAGAGAAAAAAGGGCAGAGAACAGGAAGTGCCAGAAAAGAAGAATATATGAAAGAGGAGGAGGAGGAGAAGAAAAGGGGAAAAGGAAGGAGGTGAAACACTTAAAGAAAAAGGGTAAATTGGAAACAGAGGGGGGAAGTGAAAAAACATGACAGAAAAGGAAGGGTGAAGGAGAAAAGAGATGAGAGAGAAGAGACTAAGGTGGAGCAGAGGTAAGCGTGGGAAGGAAATTTGGGGGTGCAGGGAAGATTTAGAAGAACGGGAGAGAGGAAAGGTGGCAAGAAATAGAGGACACAAGACACAAGACACAAAAACTGATGAGTAGAACATCAGAGAGGAGAAAAGAGAAAGGGATTGGACACAGGGAAGAAAAGGGCGGGCAGAAAGGTAGACACAAGGACAGAAGAGAGCAAAAAAAGAGAAGTGTAAATGCGAAAGAAGGGAGAAAATGAAAATGAAATGAGAAGAGGAAAGTGAGAGGAAAGTGAGAGGAAAACTGGAAAAGAGAGGATGCTGAAACACCCTGAGGAGCGTCAGTAATGTGTATGCCCTCTGGCATTATAATGGTTTTATTGGAAAAAGCATTAATGAATACACGAACACTGCTGAGTGGACAGTGCCATCTAGTGTTTTAAATTTAAAACCCTGAGCGTGTATCTTCTGTCACGCTCCTTACACCTATGCACACTACGCTATATGAACGTCCTCCTCCCCACCACTTCACATTTAAACAACCTGCTCCTTGTGGTCATTTTTCACCCAGTTTGGGCTGTATTATGGATGCAACATGTGTGTGTGCATGTGTGTATACATGCTTGCCATGCTTGGCTGTTATTGGGCAAGTGATCCTGGGAGCATTGTGGAAGCAGAACGATAAGCCTGGTGTCACTGGCGTCTAATCATACTCTGTGTTCCTTATCAGCTCTTGGCTCAGGAGACGGAACAGAGGAGAGAGATAGGCGGAAGAGGAGGAGGAGGCGGGGGGTATGGTGGGAACTATGGAATGGAGAGGGAGAAGTGAGGAGCAAGAGGGTTAGGTTGAGGGTGAGGTCGATAAAGAGAGGTGAGGGGAGAAAAACGTGAGCGATGAGAGCTGTGAGAAGGGAATAGAAGACATTAGAGAGGAAGAGGTGGAGATTTAAGGGTCTACTGCACTAAAAGCATATAAAGAACTAGTGCCAAGTTCTGTGTCCCGACTCACCTCACCACCCACACAGCACAAACCCACTGTGTGTAAGAGGATCTGCTAACCCATTGCAGCTTCCAACTGCATGCACACACTTGTAGCCTGTGTGTGTGTTTTAGGGTTATCAAGAGTGCTAAGGATGGGTGGTAATTGAATAATGACAGTAACGCCTCTGATGGATTACCTGTCACTCCTCTCCCCTCTCCCCCTCCATCACTGTCATCCCCTTCATCTTTGGCGCTCTCGCCTGGCAACCTCCGGTCAAACCATTCGTGCCATCACCCGTGTCGGCGCAGATGAAGACACCCACAAACACGCAAGATGACACTAAACACAACTTTTGTAGGCATTATTGTATTAAAAACAATAGGAAAAACATCCAGAGGTTTCATTTTTAGTATTGCTAGCTAAGGCTAGCAAAATAACATTAGCAACTGAAGTGGTTCTTTTATAAATGGCTCCAAAGTGTTCAGGCTGATTTATAGTTGTGTTACAGCTACAGCCTGTGGCCTGACGTACACCTTCACAGAAATCTTACCACTTGCAGCGACAGACCACAACTTTGCTGAGGTGTAAACACAGTAGTTTGATGAATGTATAGTAACCGAAATGAAATGTATTAAGCTTTCATTTTATCTAGCTTCTTCACAATGTTTATGCAATAGCCAGGATTTTTCCTATGTTAAATGTGCTGTTTACTCATTTTGCCTCTGCAGCATGTTCGTGGATAGGAGCTTGTCAGTGTGCTGCATATCACTTATTTAGCGACTTAGAAATACGCAGTAGTGGGCACACATTAAAAACTTTACAGTTGTACTACTGTTTGTGTGCACTTCTGCTATCTTGGATCATGAATTTGGGGTTTGGTGGGTCTTCTCTGACTTTCTGAGTTTGTGCTGCACATTTCCCAGTTTCAGTAATTCTCTGAAGTAGCTTGTGAGTGCTTGTTGACAAGTCTTCACGTTCCATGCAAACTACAGGTGATCACATACAATCTGCTGGCAATCAAATCAAGGAGTTTTATGCCAGACTGTCAGGGAATACACATTTTCCACTTGTGACTCGTGGTTGCCAGTGTGTCACATATTAGTCTCTAGGCCGGTATGACTGGGGCTTTAGCAACTGATTTTCTGGTGACCGCTGTCAACTTCCAGCAATCGCTTGCCAACTGGGGAATACCTCACCTGGTCATTGCCAGATGGTTATGGATTGGCCTGTAAGCATGTGTATCTGGTGCCTTGTTTTCTTGATACTTTATTATCAGGATTAATTATCGCAGATTCAAAGTGTTGGACACACGAATGCCACATGGTAAGTGTTAATGTGTCTGCAAACCCTCAATCTCGTCATAATAGACAAACTACATAATACACGTCTTTGTAGTAAAGCGTTAAAAACAATGACATCTGGAGCCAATGTGTTCTTTTGTGTGTGAACTTTTTGCTCCTTTTCCTGTTCAAGCATCTTTTTATACACATTCACCACTCTGCCCATGCACAACTGCTGTTGACCTTTTTGGGCTACTGCACAAAATAACATCTAAATGCTTAAGATCTCCTGCTATCTGGACCTCTGGTTATACATAAGGCTTCTTGTTAGATAGTCCAATAATCTTATTGGAGGTGTAATGGCCTTTCTAGATGTGCACAAAGCCTCTGTGTAGGTAGAATTCCCATAATCCCTCTCTCTTTGTAATCAAAGACATACACAAAGCCAAAGCAAGACAATAAATCCAGCAAAAGTTT